ACATTGTATGATTCCAACTATATGACATTCTGGAAAAGGCAAAACTGTGGAAACAGTAAAAGGATCAGTGGTTGCCAGAAACGGGGCACAGAGGTTTTTTAGGGTAGTGAAAATACTTTGTGTGATACTCTAATGGTGGATACTTTCATGATACATTTGTCCAAACCCACAGAATGTAGAACACCAAGAGTGAACCCCAAGGTAAACTATGGCCTTTGGGTGATTATGATGTGCTAATGTAGGTTCATCAGTTGTAACAAATGCAGCACTCCAGTGGGGGATGTTGACAATGAGGGAGGCAATTCATGTGGGGGTGGAGGGCAGGAAGTATGTATGGGAAATCTCTGTACCTTCCCCTCAACTTGCTGTGAATCTAAGACTGCTCTAAACAATAATAGCCTTAATTTTTTTTTAAAGTAAGCACCCTTAAGAACAATCTTCCCAACCAATTTTGAACAATGAATGCAAACAAATTTAGACTTTTTTAAAAATTGAGTCACAAAAGTTTAACTTATTCATCCAATCTTTAAGAGCAGAATAAAAAACTTTACCCCACCAGAACATGGGTTCTTATTTTTGTCTGAGTTCCTGTTTAGGGGTATAAAGCTGATAGGCCAGCAGATATTCTAAGAGAATGAAGTTGGGGGGGTGGGGTGGGTGGATCTTATTTAAGAGTTAGCTGATGTAAGGTCGTAGGACCTAGAATCCAGTAACATAGATTTTATGTGATAAAATCTGCAGGTGATAAACAGCAGGAAACAGGCGGAATTGAGTTAAAAGCCAGCACGTCCCTGGGTGGGCTCGAACCACCAACCTTTCGGTTAACAGCCGAACGCGCTAACCGATTGCGCCACAGAGACTTGATGTTGCAGTTCCCCCGATTTCATAGGCAGTTGGAACTTGCACCCCAGGATTTATTGCTGTCCATTCTGCAGGAAAACCGCAATTTTTATAGCTTTGCAGAACAGAGATAGATCATGTTGTTTGTCTCATTTGAAACTGGTGCACTGGGTGATTCCGAAACTCAAAGGGCAGCCGAACAGCCTTGCCACACTTTGCTCCTGACCTGCCTCATCGCCAGCACCTGCATAGACCCCGGGGCCGCAATTCCCCGGAGCTGACCTCCGTGGGGTCTTTGGGAAGCTGAAGGCCTGTTGTGCTCCGGTGGTGGCTCTTTCCATTGCTCCGCCTTCACCCAAAGGAGAGTCTGCCTGCCCTTCCCCAAGAGGCCTAGGGGGACGGTGTGTTGTTTGGTTTCCCGTGTCTAACACCGGACTCCAGGAAGGCAGGGATCGTGGTGTCTCCTCCCAGAGAACAGGGTCTGAAGCACTGTTAAGACTTGTTAAATACATTGTTGTTTAGCTTCTAGTCCCGCAAAGAACCCTGAGAATGGAAATAATGAAGTTTTTCAAAGCAGAAAGTTCTTTGTATAAAGCCTTTATTCGGATTGACTGCTCAGCCTCCGTGCAGTGGGCAACCTGAAAGGCCTACCGAGCACCCTAGGCGCTTGAGCTCCCCACGCCCAGCTCAGCGGAGTTGTGTACTCACTCACTGAGGCAGGGTGGGTAGATCCCTAGGGCAGGAAAGGAAACATGGGAGGGGGGGAGTGGGTGGGAACGGGGGTTGGAA